AGGAAAAAAAAATCCTATAGATATATATAATGTTATAGACTTAATTGTAAGTGTTGGCATGATAGCAATCTCAAGTGTTTTAATTAATCTGTCATTGCATTGCTTACAGCTGAAGCAGTACAACTGTCCTGTATACTGCCTTTTTGAGTCGAAATATTTTCCTTTGTGTGCTGTATAGGAATGACTTGAACTCATGGTCACTCCTGTACGTTATTACCCGTTTTACGATGGCATGTCTTAAATATAACTTCAATACCTTTAAAGATATTCCTGAAGAAGTCATTAGGCTGACAAAATTGGTGGTGGGGGGCGAGGTCCACATGGCTGGTAGCCCAAAACTTCCTATAACTTGCGTATTGTTTTCTTTTTTATTATTATTTTTTACCTTTCAAAGGCCAGTCCGATTGTAATTCCGAGACATTGCTTATCACTTAAAAGTCAATTGATGTAGAAGTTTAGATGTGAAATTGAATATATAATGATGTAGCTGTAAAAATAAATATGGAGAACTAAACTTTGTTCTGATTTTCTCTCTCTTAACAGGCAGCAGATGAGCCTGCCTACCTGACAGTGGGAACCGATGTCAGTGCCAAGTACCGTGGTGCCTTCTGTGAGGCAAAGATCAAGACGGTGAAAAGGCTCGTGAAAGTCAAGGTAGTGCTGGGGTTGTTGCTGATGTTATTAAAGTGTTGCGCTGAAAGGGCTGTCAGAAGGGATCCGAGTCCTGAAGATTAGGAAATGTTCATCACCTCACTGTATGAATTTTAAAGAGCACTCGAATGTTGGTTTTTTGTGTTTTGGTGTTGAGTTTTGAGTGTTCGGAGGTTTTTGTTATTTTTTACCTTTCTAGGGGGATGCTGGAACAAGAGTGAGCTTTCAGATTGCCAGTTCTTGCTACTTTTCCTGATCACGGTTGTCGTCTGTCTGTGAATGCACCGGTTTCACAGCAGGCAGTTTTTTTGTCACAAATAGAGAATTAAGGCTTTACATGAGTAATAAGGAATAAGAGCAACCTTTTGAGAAGCAAAAGTTCCATTTCTTTCCAGCTGACGTTCTCAGTTTTATAGCTTGGGATTTAGGAGACGATGCCAAAATAAATCGATGTAAGAGCAAAAAAGTGATGGTGATAGTTGGTTTCTTAGGCCAGGTTTTAGAAGTGTCCAGGATAACACTTGTGAAGTTTGGAGCATTTTGCTGCTGCTTCTGAACTCGGGCTGTAGCCCAAGTCTCTACACAGGCATAGTCCTGGGAGAGAATATTAATCTTTATTTACAGGTCTTAAGCGAAAACAATTGAAAAATAAAGTAATTATTTTGGTGTTGCAGTAGTGTCGTTAATGCTGATATGGGAAAACAAGAATAAATTGTAGTTAAAGAAAAGTTAAGAATTCAAAGTAAATCTAGAAGTTGTTGTTCTGCTTTGCTTTATCAAAATCTTCCCACTTCCTACTTTCTTGTCTGCTGTCCAGGATACGTAGATAAGGCATTAGTGACCCAAAACCCCCTAACAAATAGAGAGGAAAGCTGCTTTTTATAACTGCACTTCTAAGTTTTCATGTGCTTTAGTGCTTAGATCAAGTAGAGCAAGCTATCAGCCTCCTCAGTTACATACGTAGATCATATCACTTTATCAGAGTGCTTTTCATGATTAGAAGAAAAAAAATCAGCTCTTGGAGTCTTTTCCGCTGTTCTTAATGAGCAGTTTTGGAAACCCGTGATGTTCTTTGAAATGTGTGTTAATGAGCAGCTCAGGGGGAAGCAGCGTGCTGCCCTTCCTGGTGTGGCATCCCTCATTTTTGTATCTGTATCCTTGGTCTGATAGCGTTTAGACTGTTAATAGGTGCGAGTTTCTTTTTCCTCATTAGAATAATATGCTTCATTACTCCCTGATAAGATTTGGAAGAATGCGATGCTGCTGTGACTTGGTGGAAATTCCTGTCACCGTATCTCAGCTTTATCATAACAATTGAACTTCTAACAAGCTAGGCCTGATATTGTAATTAAGAGCGTGTGGGCACACCCCAGCACGCTTGCAAGAGTGCAAAGTGTCCAGAAAGCCCCGTAGCAGGACAACTTGTATTCATCTCAGCACCAATAGTACGATTTTAAATAAAAATTGCATTCACTGCACTGTTAGCCTCAATGAATGTGTGTTAATGCCAACACTCTGTTGTGTTTATAAATACAGATACAGTGTGGACTACGGTTGGGAGATAAGTGGGTGAGTTAGAAAACTGGACATCTTTGTAGGCCGAAAGGAAGCTCCTGGAGCTTTTGATTCCTAGAAAGAAATGGGAATCTTGGATTTATTTTATTTCTTTAATCAAACACTGCAGATGTTTTTGCTATAACAAGCTGCCCTGAAACAGTTACAAGTGTTGACATCTAAATATTCATCTTTTATGTTTCTAAACTGAGTTTCTGCAGACTCAGGGATGCAGGTTGCACAAGCTCACGTTCCCTCGTCTCATCGGTGTTACCTCCTTTAATGTAGGATCATAAGGGGAGAAGCACAGTTCACTTACACTGTAGCTGATCCTTCATGGCACTTGTCATTCACATCTTTACCATGTAAACTTTGTCCTGCTCAAGGTAGCAGAAACGATGGTCAGTTTGGTGAGGGTTTTTTGATATTTATTTAATAAAGAGAGTTTTTTATTTGGGTTGTAGTTTAGTATTCAGTGTGGTGTTAATAAAGTGCTACCGTGCTTAATCTTCTGATCTGCCCAGTTCCTGCTGGGACCTGGATTGTATCGATATCCAAAATCATGTCAAAGCGTATTTTCTTTGCCTTGGAACGGCTGAGGTTTGATGTGTCCTGTTCCTTAATGATGATTTTTCAGGTTAAGTAGTAAGTGTGGTACCTGGGGCTTCCCGTGAGTAAAACCATCCGTGCCAAGCGTGTTGAGTTCAAGAACATTTGAGTCCATTTGATTGATAAAGTTATTTTTTTTTCCAAATTATTATTTTTATAAATACAGTTGCATATGCTTTTTTTTTGGTATGTTATTAAAAGTAAGATACGTGTTAAAAGTTTTGTTCATATCTTTCAGGTGGTCCTGAAGGGAGATAACTCAACTCAGTTAGTGCAGGATGACCAAGTGAAAGGGCCTCTAAGAGTATGTATATTGCATGCTTGCTTTTATTTTGTTGTACTCACAGAACTGATCTGTAAAACTCTAAGTGTTGATGCTGTTTAAGGTGGGTACCTCTTCTACAGAGTTTAAATCAACAGGAGGAGGCTCATTGCTTTGGGCTGCATTGATTCTAAGTAGTTAGTCTTAACTCTTGTAGCTTTTAAAGGCTGCTTGTGCTTCTCTGTACTTTGTACCGCACACGCAGTGATTTTTGTGTCTTCTTAGAAGAAAGAAAAACTTCTTACAAGTAATGAGAACTTGATCACAAAGCTAAAGTCAAGCCCATTGGACAATAGGAAATAAGATTGCTCTGTTTTGAAATATTTGATGTATTTTACATGAAAATAAGTGTTGATTTGTGGTTTTATTATTCGTAACAGTTGTCTGCTAAAATACATGGCTGCATCGTAAAACACTGACTGCAGATTGAGCTCTTTAGAGGAGATAATCTATTTAGTACTTGTCTTTTCTCTGTAGTTACTGCAAGAACACCAGTGTGTGTTGTGAGCTGCTACTGGAATTCTGATCTCGCTGATAGTATAATGATGTTTAAAGTATAAAAGACGTAGTAGTTGCGTTCATATCAGTAATAAAGTAATAATTACTTTGAATATTTGAATGTTTATTTCCAATTAGCCTTCTCTTACTTCTTGTGATGATGTACATCATGCTGAAATTAAGTGTTCTAAGTTTCTGACTGCTTTACTGTCTGCTTGCAGTTCGGCCTTCAGGCTTCAGGACCTTTGTTACCAGCTAAGGAACTGACTTTCACAAAGCTGCAGTTAGCTAACACGAGTCTTTAAAAAAATAAGTAACTTGCTAGGAGAATTACTGCCTGCGTGTGTATTTCTGCATTACATGAGTTTGGGATTACCTGTGAACTTGAGATACTGATTTTTACAGGTTGGTGCAATGGTTGAAACCAAAATGCCCGATGGTTCCTTTCAGGAAGCTGTTATCAGCAAGTTGACGGACGCTAGCTGGTATACTGTAGGTGAGTAGCCACATGCTTTCACTTACCAGCTCTGATCTTTGAACAATATATTTCTGATTATAGGCAATAATGTAAGTAATTTTATCTTTCACTGTAGGGTCTGAGATAGATTTTTAAAGGGGACTTTTTTTAAGTCTTCCAGGTCCTGTTTCCTTTTCCATTTAAAATAGGATACTAATTATGTGGTGTTCAAGAGGCTGTTGCACAGGTAATTGCAGGGCTGAACAAGTTTTATTTGGCACAACGTATGTACAGTGCTGTCAGCTTCGCTCACCGGAATTCAGAATAATTTTTGCAGATTTTAAGACACAAACCTTGTAACTGCACTTCTAGCTGAAAACTTGTGGCATGTAATGAATGACAGGAGCGCAAGCCTGCTTTCACTTCGTGTACACAGGAAAAACAGGCGTTCTGAATTCATTACTCTTGTGTGTAGAGTTGACTGTCACGTTTTGTGCGAAACAATAGAAGACTGGATCTGTTTTGGTTTTAAGAAAACAGTGACACATCCCACCTTCAGAAGAGGGCACATTCATTTATGATGTGAATAACTTTCCTTTAAAAGAATCTGAAAATGATGAAATAGAAAGCTACTCTGCTTCTCATGTTGGAGGCTCAGGCGCTTTTCGGTTGTTGGAATAGAAACCTCAGAATGCAGGGTCAGCAAAATTTCAACATTGAACAAGAATCGCTGCAAAATAAATTTATTTATCTTGAATAATTAGAATTGCTTATTCCGATGTCTAGATTTTTCTGGAACAGCTTTAACAGCAGATAGACAAACCCCAGCACTGTTCAGGTAATACTAGATAAGCAACTAAAAACCCACAGCATTTGAATGAAAGAGCTTTGCAGACACCTGTCCTTCTTTTGCACAGCTTCCTTACAGCACTGGAGCATTGTATTCAGCAGTGGTACCGTGGAGGGAATGTGCTCTCCTGAATTGTCACGTCCATGGCAGTCTTTGGCATTGCTTTTGAGATCAGTGCTTGTAAATTTGAGTTGTCTCTCGCTAGCTGCCTTGTCTACTGAATGTACACACACACGGTGTGGAGTCCTCTCTCACCTAGTGTCAGTTATTTTGATTTATTAACCCCTTTTTTAAGAGATAAGGTACTTTCAGCAACCTGACTTTGCCATTGCAGTAGTCTTTGGTGGGAGCAGGATTATTGCATGGTTTAGATAGAAGCCAGTTGACTTAGCAGTTGACAAAGCTCATTGCTCTTTGCATTTTTTGTCCAGATTATAACATTGCTGTAAAATCGTAGTATATGTCAGGTCGGGGAGGAAAGGCAGGATTATTTTGGAGTGCAGAAGATTTAAAATCGACTTGGTTTCGTACTGTGATGTGACACGCTCAGTGAAGAACACTGGACCTGCAGCTTTGCTTTATGGCGACTTAGAGGTTCATCGTTCTGATGCAGAAGAGATGGGAAACAGTCTTGCACTAATAATTTTATAGTCTGAGTTAGCATCTCCATTTTGAAACTTTTACTTTGTTTTAAAGTAGCACTTTTAGCTAAGTTCTGTTTGAATTTGGACCAGAAGATTTACATCAGTAAACCAACCCTAGGTATATATTCTTGCTTCAGCGACTGAAAAAGGCTTTAAACCATCAATTGATAAAACAAATAAATCTCTCCTTTTTCTTTTTCTTTGAGCAGTACACTTCTGCCAAAATTCTCCACTTGATGAGCAGGTAATTTTAACTGTGAATATGTGCTCTGCCCTGCATTAGTGGATTGTTTAGATTTAGCAAATTGAACTCTCCACAATAATGTAACAGATAACTCATGCGTGCCGTGATTTTTGCTTTGTACATTTATTAAAGTGCAGCTCCTCAGAAACGTGAGCCAGTGATTAATTGACTGCTGTAATTTTCTTTCCTGACGGAATAATTTTTGACAGGCAGAATAGAGAAAATAAACTCGTATGTTTTCCATATGCAAATGTATAAAGACTGATGGGAATTTATTAAAAAGTGGAACTGGGAGTGTGTGGGGGACTTAGGCAATCTTAGGGTCAGTTAACATGCAGGTAAAGCATATATACACACACACACACACACATATTCACACCTATGACTAGGAAAATACAATTGAAACGCATTGAAATTGCATTTAGGTCTCATGAACGTCTTTGTGAGTTGTATTTGGTGGCGTGCTTCCTGGTGTTGAAAGCACAGGTAACTGACCAAAGTAAGCACACCAAGAAGTTTGCATCTTAAAAAACTGATTGCTTTTACGTTCAGGAAATGCTCTGGGTTGAGTCCAGAAACACTGAGGTGTGAAAAATAAGCCTTATCTTTAGCCTGCTGCTACCGTTGTATCTTTGTAGGAAATTTTGGATAGATGTTGGGTGTATGTTTATGTTGCTGTGAGGCAAACAGAGTTGAATTGAGTTTTTGATAGACGGTGGGCCGTGCTAATTGGCAATCGTATTGGCTGATTCAGTCAAAGCCCAAGAGTCAAAGGGGACGTAGATTAAACAGCCTTCAAGTTTCTAGGAGGTCTTCCTGAATGTTGTCAGCCTCGAGGTGGAAAGCACAAGGAAAAACTTCTGCTTCACTGTTATGTGATTTTCCTGTGCTGCTTATTTTCTGTGTTTCGTAGCATGCCCTTCTCTGTGAGCTAAAGGTGCACTGGTGTGAACAGGGAAACCAGTACTGCGTACAGACAACCATTTTCCAAGTACAAATATCTCACAAGTGCACCAAAGCAAACTGCGTGCATGTCAGTGATGGTGTTCACTTTTGTAAATCAGATCTCTATTTCAGATAAGTGTCTAAAGAAGGAAAAAGTCAGTTGACACAACTTTGCTTTGTTCAGTGAGGTGAACCTGTGGAAATGCTGTGTTGAATTTGCTGTGGCAGGCTGCTTTGCCACCAACGTGATGAGAGAGCCACAAAGATTATCACTTAGGCTGTTTTAACAGTATCTCCTGTCTGTTAGCTGTGTTCATGTACCCAAAATAAATAAGGATTAGTTTTTATTATAGGGAATCACTTTTTCCCCGAGTTTTACATACTAATGGTGTCACTGTCGGCATTTATTCATATTGATATTTTCAGCTGTGATTTGGAAGTACTTTAGAAACTACCTTTGAAATTCAGCTTTTCAGTTGTAAGTAGGTGAAGAAACAAAAGCTCTTTGGAGGGAAAGTTTAGCAATGTTGGGAAAATGCCACTGCACAACTCTTTCCTCTCATCTGCTCAACTGCCTCTGAAATGGGATGACAGTAGTAGCGGTTTAAGTTCTTTGGATAACAAATGGCTCTGGTGGCTGTTTTTTATCTTAAAAATGCAGTTATTTAAAATGAGGTTAGTTAATTTACAAATTTTCGAGTGCTGCATCGAAGTGCTGAATGTACTGCTAGATGATAATTGCATGGCATTAGAATGGTTCATCAGATCTGCTCTCAGCTGAGCCACGTTTGAATTATGGCTTCCTTAGTGTACCAGCCCCGCCAGGCTCTGTTTACTTGTA